CCTCAACCCCAAATTCGCTCATCCATGTCTTTATGGCCCTTGCTTTGTGCACTGGTGCACAGTCATGTTGGAACAGGAAGGGGCCATCCCTAAACTGTTTCCAAAAAGTTGGGAGCATGAAATTATCAAAAATGTCCTAATATGCTGATGCCTTAAGAGTTCCCTTCACTGGAACTAAGGTACCAAGCCCAATATTGAAAAGCAGCCCCACACCATAATCCCCCCTTCACCAAACTTTACACTTGGCTTGATGCAGTCAGGCAAGTACCGTTCTCCTGGCAACCGCCAAACCCAGACACATCCATCAGATGGCCAGACAGAGAAGCGTGATTCATCACTCCAGGGAACACGTCTCCACTGCTCTAGTCAAGTAGCGAAGTGATTTACACCACTGCATCCAAAGCTTTGCATTGCACTTGGTGATGTGAGGCTTAGATGCAGCTGCTCGGCCATGGAAACCAATTCCATGAAGCTCTCTACCCACTATTGTTGTGCTAATCTGAAGGCCACATGAAGTTTGGAGGTCTTTAGCTACTGACTCTGCAGACAGTTGGCGACTTCTGCGCACTGTGTGCTTCAACATGCACTAACCCCATTCTGTCATTTTAAGTGGCCTACCACTTGGTGGCTGAGTTGCTGTTGTTTTCAGTTGCTTCCACTTTGTTACAATACCACTAGCAGTTGACCATGGAATATTTAGTAGCAAGGAAATTTCACAGATGGACTTATTGCACAGGTGGCAACCTATCATGGTACCGCACTTGAATTCGCTGAGCTCCTGAAAGCAACCCATTCTTTCACAAATGTTTGTAGAAGCAGTCTGCATACCTAGGTCCTCAATTTTATACACCTGTGGCCATGGAGGTGATTGGAACACCTGAATCCACTGATTTGGATAGCTGTCCCAATACTTTTGGCAATATAGTGCATATTCAGACATACTGCTGTACCTATACCCAACTCCTTTTTTTCTAAATTTAACCAAACGATTACCTCCTTTTTTTGGGATTGCTCTACTCCCAGAGTGGCCAGGGCTACATTACAACTCCCATTGTCTAAGGGTGGTTTAGCATTTCCCTGCTTTAAGAAATACTATTGGGTGGCTGTATTTGTTATGATCCGATGGTGGTTTGCCCATGTGCAGTCTAACCCTGCAGTGAATTTGGAAGCAGCGCTGCTGGGCTTATATTGGAAACTTAGCAATTTGGTGTACAGGGGACCCAGATCCAACCCGAATATTACCGCTCCAATGAAAACCACAGTGATGGCCTGGAGACAAGTTACAGTGGCTCTGAGTGAGCCCCACTGTGGGGTAATTCCTCTCTACTACACTTGAGGTCCGTGTCAGACCCACAGGTTTGGGCCCGGTTTGGCATCAGGACAAATAATGCCTGATGGGTGTCTCCCTTCCTTTGCAGAGTTGAGACGTAAATTTCAGCTGCCTTCCTGGATGTTCTTCAGGTTCCTACAACTTAGACACACTGTTCAGGTGCAGTTTCCTGATGCCATTACTTTAGTCCCTCACTCGGTGGATAGACTTTTAATCTCTAATATAGGTAGAATTTTTTTTCTTCCTTGTACCTAAGAATTAACTGCAAGGATACTGTCAGGATTACTCTATTATATAGTGCATTGCAATGAATATACCCAATTTAACTGATGAAGATTAGGATGAAGGGATTTGGCAGTAACTTCCCCTCATCATTTCTACTAGGGATTGCTTTATTCATCTAAAATGTCTCCATAGGGTTTAGTATAACCCATGGAGATTGCTGGCCATCTATTGTACCGCTGATGAGTATTGCTTTAAATGTTGCCAAGATGTGTGAAATTTTATCCATATGGCCTGGTCCTGTATGGATCGTTACTGATATTAATGCAATCAGTGATGCACCCATTGCCATGGAACCCTTAATTCTGCTGCTCAGCATAACTGATAATCTGACTACAACTTCTCATAAAAAAATTGTTTATATCTTACAATGCATTTTATGCATGGAAAACAATTCTGTCTAAGTGGTAGCTGGCGGAACCCCTGACTGTCTTTGCTTAGAGGTCCGTGGTCAATGAAGTCCTGCCTCTTTTCAGGTTCACGTACATGCAACATAACTGTCCTCAAAAATTTGAGAAAATCTGGTCAGATTTTAACTTTACCCTTTCCTCTTCCCCTACCCCCATCTTTCTACCAATTAAGGCTGTGATGCTGCAGGATGTGAAAAGGCAACTATATATTGTTTTACCTCTTCCCTTCATTGGACACTGTTTATCTTGTATGACTACCTCTGTGACCTTTGCATATGATTGCCTACAAACTGTACCCTGACCATCTGCTTGAGCATATACTACCCTGTATGCACATTGTTGCATGTACTTTAATTGAATTCTATCTTTAAAAAAAAAAAAAAAAAAAAAAATGGACAAACAGAGGTGTGATGCCACCAACTATCAAAAGTTTATATTTGGAAGTAACTAAGATGAATGCAGAGGCAATTTAATCAGGTTCAGTCTGGTATATCTATTGAGACAGAAGACAAATTAGCTTCCTCCCAATCGGAAGCTGTTTTATTTTAGAGAAATCTACAAAAATAAGCAGACTTTTCATCATGAGAGTTCTCAGATACTGAGAGACAGGTATTGAATAGGGGACTTAACTGTGTCCCTATGTATTGTATATAAGTGATAGACTTATATTAGATATTGAACTATATTTTTTTGTGTATCCAAGTTTATTTCTTCACTACAGACTATCATCAGGAGCTAGTCCTGTATTTTTATATTTTAGAAACTTTTATCAAAATTGTGAAAAGAAATATCGGACGCATCAATTCGTACAAGATCATTAAGGCGCAGGCTCTTAAATTTCACCCAGACCTAGTGAAAGGTTCTTCAAGCTAATTGCAGTGACAACATTCTTGTCATAATACCAGCCGACAAAGGTGGTGAAACTGTTGTTCTGAACAGCATAGACTATTTGTCAGAGGAGATGTACTAGCTCTCTGACTCTAGCATTTATCAAAAACTGGCTGGTGATCCTTTGACCTCTATAAAATCTAAAACTAACACACGCATTTCATCTGCACACCTGATTAGTACCACTGATGGGAAGCTTAAGAGGTTTTTTATGCACAGATTACCATCTCACACCATTTTTCTATTGCCTTAACAAAATCCATAAGAACCATACTAATCCACCACAATACATTCCAACCTCTTGTATGTCCATACCTTCATATCAAAACTGACTTTCTTAGCTCCCTTTAGGGAGCTAAACCAGTGTCTACTTAATTTTTCTTTCTCACTTGATTATACCTCTACCCAGAATAATTTCTTAGATGCTGACATACACCTAGATCTTGATCAAACTGTTTATGAATGGGGGAGATGGAAAACAATGTTTAAGAAAATCCTACAACCTTTACTAAAGGGATCAAATTAAAGAGTGAACTAAAGTTCCTCTAAAGTTTCACAATTGGAAGCCTCTGACACAGGGGATTTGAAAGCATCAGGGATGCTAAGGAGTTCAATCTCCTTAGTATTTTCATGATATGGTCCACACATGAAGGAATCAAAAGAGAGCATCTGGGTGAATAGGTTTATATGCACTTGAAACCACTAGTAATGAGACTATCAGGATATTAGAGATACCAGTGCAGTCGTGCCACATATTGGCAATTTAAATCAGAGGCTGGTATGATATAAACTACAATGGATAATAAAGTCCTCTACTCTTCAATCCGATATCATCTAACACTAATAGCGTTGAAACATGATTTAAATAACTACAGTACTTACAATATGTTATTAATATTTGCTATTGTCTGCTGTGTTTCTTTTAACAATTTAACAATTTATTTCTTTCAACGGAGTGTATATATAAAAATGAGGGGCTTATGTGTAATACCTGTAATGTGGTATGTTTTTTCCTGTCAAGAGTGCTCTCCTCTGTATGTCGGTTGCACCATTCAGTCCTTAAGGATATGAGTGGGAGAACATTTTTGCGATGCATGAACTTGAAAGTCAAATAGCCATCTAATGTGTCTAAACATTCTTTACACATTCATGAAGTAATATGACATATTTTTCCTTTTGTGGCGTGGAGAGAGTACTATTAACATATAGAGGTGGTACTTTAGCTTGATGCTCCTTGAGGGTGAAGTGTGGTGGATACTTAGGTTATGCTTGAGGATTTCCCTAGGTCTAAATAATCACTGGGATATCAGTCTTTCCCTAAAATAAGGTTAATCCTATCTTGTTCCTTGACCTTATTTTTTGGGAATGGATAATGATATATGTTTAAAGTAGCATTTTTTATGTAGACCCATAAAAAGGTTATGTAGTAATGTTATGTGTCCTTTTGTATTATTTTCCCTAGGCAGACAGCTCTTGTGGGTAAAATGGATTGAGAGGGCTAGATTTTCCCAGTTAATTACTTGTGTTAGAAGATTAGACAGAAAGCTAAAAAGTGTATGTACGTTACATATGCATGCATGTTCTGCCATTACAAACAAGTATGTTTATGCAAATGAAATTCAAGGGGACAATTATTCAGGGGTTAAAGTAGACCTAATGTAATTTTAAAAGTTATTTTCACTCTTTTAAATCTGCACTATCTATTGATTCATGAAAGTTCTTGGCCTCCATTGTCACCGTGTCGCAGGCAACAATGTCACAGAGAGCACAAGTGTCCATCACTGTCACTGTCATGCATGGCTAAAAGAAGCCATTGTAGATCAGCAGCACTGAGATGCAAAAAAATTATAAAAAAAAAAAAAGTTGAAAACAGTATTTTATTTAAAAAGAATACAAACTATTTAGGATACACAGTTCAAACTAAGTGTCATTCAGTTAGGGTTAGATCTATTTTAACCTTTCAACCCCTATTGAATCACTATGGACTATAAGAAAAAGAAGCCTCTTGGGTTCCCTCTGCTAAGAGGATTCTAGCAGGTTGAATTTTCACAATTTCCTTGTGCATAGGTTTTGGAAAAAAATGTTGTTACCTCTCTTCCCTGTTCATACTTCTGAGAGTTTTAACGACAGTACACAAGTGTTGAATGCAGGCATCAGACGATAATCCTGGAAAAAAAAAAAAAAAAGAGGAAATGCTAATAAATTCTTCTTAAAACCAACTGAACTTTACTGATAGCTTAAGGGCAAGATGGACAAAAGTTAAAAACAACACAGCATCCATTTTAGGATGTACCTCACACTCCTCACTCTGTGCTGAACCTTTCTCATTCTTCGTACAAACTGCTTCTGCCAGGTCCTTCTTACTCCTCTTGGAAACCACTACTAGTTACTTTACTCAGTCTTCCTCTACAGCCCAATCAGCTGGCATTTATATTCATTCTTCCACCTGTATAAATTAAATTTTTTACCTAAATTGCTATACTCATATGCACTACAAATAAGCATTTCTGTTAATCGACTCTGGAATCTACCCTCACACATTTTTAAGTATATATGGAGAAAGGTTAAACCTAGAGCAGTGTACCCAAATAATGGATTCTTTAATGCCATTGTTTTTTATGATGTTGCATATTTCTGCTCTGTTTGTGACCGTAGTTTCATTTACTGTAATTACCTCCTTGCATACTTGTTTGAAAATGTAAATAATGAATGTAAAAAAAAAAAAAACCTAGAGCAGTGAAAACTACTATCAATCCTCAAACATAACATTGCCTCATGGTACTATAGAGATCCTACTCTGGGTAACTTTCATAGGCTAATTGGTGCTCCCCAACATAATACATAATCTGCTGAGGCTGTCAAAGGAAATAGAGGCCAAATTAAAAATCTAAATCACATTTCATTATTTGGATTGTGGAACAGATCCAAAAGCTTAGAGAAGGTGATTTCATCCAAATCATAATCTAATCTGATTTCATCTATTGTAATTGATTCATTCAGCACCATTGCAATATGTCATGGATAACCTATATTCTTCCATCTACACATTTCGAATGTTAGCGTTTGTCTGGTAGATGAAACATAAGCTCACCTTAACCCAGAACATACATTACAATGGTGGCATGGATCCCTTTGATTACTTGCAGGGCAAACACAATATTATTCCAATGAGGGAATTATACTGTTGCTTGCAAATAAAACACTTCAAACAACCTACTACCTCTGAATAAAAATGCACATAAACCCACATACCCTAGGTAAAATATCCTATCTATTGTAGCAATCGTGCACTCAGAGATGGACGCGGTCCTCCATTTTGTTAAGAATCTTCCATTTTGTACCATCTCTCACTCCCAAAGCAGGCTTCCTCCTCCAATCATCCCCCCTCCCTCGCTGTTGAGTGAAATGTGGTCGGTGTGTGTTTGCAGAGATCACCGGCAACAAACTCAGTGGGAGGGCGTCCAGGCTATAAAACCTCACTAGCTCGGTGCCCCTCTGTCTAAGAAACTCTTGCTTGGAAAGGGATCATAAAAGCGTAAACCAAGTCCCTCACTGAGTTCAAAGACATTCCAGATACGTCATAAACTAGACACCACATGCAACATCCATTTTCCCCTATGATTTCATATCTTGGATTATGAAAGACTTACACAAACATGGAGCACATATTTGGATGGCTCATTTTAATACAAATCGTTTGATATATTATATCCTCTAGCTGTGATCAACAGGAGAGCAGAAAATAATATCTCCTTAACCATCCCAGCAGGTATGTCATATTTCATATGTAGACATTCAGCAGACGATTATGCGTATTAATCTACCCGTGGGTGGAATGTTACATGTACCTAAGAAAAGTTATTGACCAAAGTATAATTTCTGAGGGATTTGGTCGTAGCCTGAGGTCTCCACCTACAACTCCCTCCCCAAATGAGGCGATTGGTTCTCTGCTTCAGGGAGACACCCTGCTGAGTTCCTAGATAAAGGCTGCGATGCTTGAAGTTAAGCTAAGCTGAGGTGTGTGAGAGTTGAAGAATCTCCTGTTTTAACATCGAAACTGACAGTGGGAGATAAATCCTTTGCTCTGAAACCTGATCTGCTTAACCCAGGACATGTGGCAAGTACTTTAACCCTCTAACTTTTCTCTGTTATCTCTTTGCTGTGCTATTGTTCTCTATATATATATCTCTATATATATATATATATATATATATATATATATATATATATATTGGCTACATCTTTTTCTGTAAATATTTTTATTGCACCCTTTTGACTTTTTAGTAATAAATCTTACTTTCTGAAAGTGTTGAACTGTTTCTAACGCCTTTAATGCAAACTAAGAATTCCTGCCGCTGAAGAGTGCTACTGTGTGTGTTTAACCCTCTGTATAACCTGCCTGTGGTGACAGTGGTATACAGACGATTATCCAGCCATCATAGTGGTATTGCTAATATTGCCAAGTTTCCTCTTTCTCTGTACAAAAAGGAGGTGGTGGCAGTGTGAAGGGTTAATTGCATAATTAACCTGACCCAGTAACAATCGCTCTCAGGCTGCAGGTACACAGATTGTAGTCCAGTAGCTGGAAAATCTGTGTGCAGGGTGCAGCTGGGTGTGTCATTGTTATGCACGTGACAGCGCGGTTTTAGATTGGCTAGTCCTTCGGTCACGAGTTTGGTGAGAAGGGCTGGGGTCTGACGCCGCAATCGTCACATCTATAATTCCCAATTACTGTCACGCCTGCTTCTCCTTTTTCCTATACCATCGAATGGGAGCAGGAATTACAATATTCAGTAACAGATGATCTCCATTTGGACAAATGAACCCTAAATGTTCAGATAATACGTTAGCTGTAGAAGTCAAGTATATGCTCCTACTTAGATGGTACCTAGTTCCCTCTTGTATACCCAGAGCAATTCCTTCATATCCTGCAACATACATTTGAGGATGTTCCCCTGCAGGGCACTTTTAGGCATATATTTTATATTATATTGTATACAGTTTTTATTAATATAATGTTATAATTGATTATGGTTTTATGGTATATGATTTTGAGCATGTGTATTTATTTTGACTAATATACCCTCCCACTGTTTTTTGAAAATATGTTTTCTTATATATATCTGATGTCCTGAGACAATATCCTGTGGTGTCAGTTTATTAGCCCCCATTGTTTTGTATTGTTTTGCAATTTTGGTATGTAAGGGGTTAAATGCATAGATGGATAAACTGACCAATACAGGGTTAATTGCACATATGGACAAGTGGTAGGACGCCCTACACATTCCATGTTTTTGGCTGAAAAGGAACCAGTTAAATTGTTGAGGAGACAGATATAAAGGTCAGATCGCTGCGCCATGTAACCAAACCCTGTGACAAAGCCGAACGTGATGAAATGCCGGGGTGTGGTTATGCGGCGACCGAAAGTGGTGTCTATCCTGGAACAGGAAGTGACGTGGTGTCTGTGTCCGATAGTTCCGAAGGTGGTGAGAATGCCAAGCTAACATGCACACCTTGTTGTGACGCTATTTCATGAGATGAGCTGATTTTAACTTGTTTTTTGTAAGTGACTTTTTATTAATAAATTTATATTCAGTTGGTTACTGTACCATTGGAGGCTATTCTTTTGATTTCAATATTTGATTTGAATATCATTGAGCCGATGGGAGAAGTGTTCTAATGATATGATGCCTTGAGGTTATCGTGGAGTCCTTTAAGTGAGATATGCAGGGGCGGACTGACCATTTGGAAACTCGGGCACTGCCCGAGGGCCCGGGGTCAGTAGGGGGGCCCATGAGATGCCCCTGGTACCTTTTTTCATAGGCTTTTTTGAGTTTGGGCAAGGACACAGGGGCCCCATGATCCCCTATTGCCCGGGGGGCCCCATGAGTTGTCAGTCCGCCCCTGGAGATATGCAATTCATGAGAATGGTTGGCATATTCATTTGGTCAGTTCTACCCTAAAGGGAGAGGGATTGCTAAAGCACATATGGTATGTGGTGGATGTTTCAGGAAGAAAAACAGCACCTAATTTGCAGCATTTTTATGAACACTTACGGACTTCTTTTAGCATTTAATTTGCACTATTTTGTGTTACTTGAGGTTGTCTTTCACAGCTCTACTAGTGAGGTAGAGGTGCACCTACAGACAGATCACCTTTAATTCATGTGTTGGTAATATCTGGTGGGACTTGCCTGAGGTGCAAACTTTTTGTATATCAAAGAGTAAGTATGGAGCTAGGCAGACACATCAAGTTGAACCCACTGGAGGCACTTCTTAGCAAGAAATCTGGCCCCTGCAGTAATACCCATTTTTGGCTAGTATATTCACAGGCTAAAAGGACTATTATCAATGTGTGGAAAACATTAACGCTGCCCTATATAGAATTTCAAAACAAAGTTTCTTAAACCCAGTTCTTTCAAAAGCTTATAGTTTTTCAGAAAGACAAACAGTAGCAAATGTGAAAGGATTTGGACAACCTGGATAGGCAATCTTTTAAATAACTTTTATTTGTAGCTCACTCATTATTTTGGTCAATTGTATCACTTTTGAATCAACTCCTGTTACTTATGGGGTCCCTAACCTGATTTACTCTTCCTCTCAATCATACCTCCCCCCCTTTTATATGACTCATATGATGTTCCCCTACATTTTGAATTTTATCACAATTGTAAATCCATTATAACATCCCTGAAATTTCTTTCAACATTTCAATATACTGTATGTTGGTACATGTACTGTAAGTCTTGTGTTTTCTAGCCATATGTGGATCTATTTCTGTGCATTTTAATGTAAATTACTGTACCCACAAATTTAGGTATAACCAGCCTGCCAGAATTTATATGCGATTATTGCTATTATAGCCACTAGCAGTAATCACTGTGTTCTCCTAGCGGGGATGAACACAGTGGCTCTGCAGGAGAGATTCCCCCCCACCAACACAGACTATGTTGATGGGAGAATTAAACAATGTTCTTTTCGACAACCACAATCGCTCTGTCTATGGCCAACTTTAGATATACTTTGGCATTACGTTTGCAACATAAAGTATGTTTCCTCCCCTCAAATGCAGTTATCTAAACTGGATAGGAAAACCAGTGAAGTGCATAGAAAATGTTGCAAAAGCATTGGGAATGTTTGCTATTAGATTATTCACATGCATACTTTCAAATATTGATGTATATATTGTTACATAAAGAGAATGTCAGAAATGACAAAAAAAAAGGACAGATATCTAGAAAACATTATCTCTCAGGGACCCCAAGAAATAATTTTAGACCCACTGGGGTCAGTTACACTTCTGGCCCACTAGCAGTGCATATCTAAACACTAGCAGGTAAGGCAAAGAAAACTAAGAATACTGTGCTCTTTCCAGGGTTAGAGGGTCAGAGATGTGCCCTACTGGACAAAACATTTTAGGAATACCAAATACTGACATAAAATGCAGCTGGAGTTGTGTTTCCGTAATCCTGATGTGATAAAAAGAATCTGTGCAGTAAAGAAGTTTTTCTGTTTACCTTGATGTGGAGAGGAGAAAATATAAGCATGATACAGTTTGGAAATTCCCAGAGAAGTGAAACACTGTCAAGTGGAATATAGCACGGGGACCGCTGAGGGGGAGAGAGATTTATTTTCTTTCCTGACCTCAGATCCTATAACATGTTGAAATGAGATGTGAGCACATTCAGCTGTATACTGATGCACAAGCATCCGATATCCTTGAGAATCAGAGCACTACATGCAAAGCTTGTTAACATGACAATGCAACACATGATAGACGAGATGAGAAATGGTTTCCGCAGGGAGAAGCAAAAATGAGCTCCCTTTTGGACATTAGAGTCAGTAAACAGGTTATCGACACAGATTTCATAAAACCAAGAATAAATTAAAAGAATGTAAAAATATTTCATATCCAACTTCTGAAAACTATTTCATGCAAATTGAAGCAGTCAAATTAAAAACACATACCTTGATACTTTCTTGATAATGCCAACACCAGCGCAGGACTTTCACTGGGAAAATAAGCCCTTAGTGGAAGCTTTGGCTAGAATAGAGAGACTTATTAGAGGTAAATTACAAGCATATGTGATCTTTATATACACATTTACATACACAATTACCACACACACACACACATACACTTAATGATTTATTTTTTTAATGGTAATGCACTATTGAGTTTTCCTTGTTTTGAGGTTCATGTCTTCTTTGGATTCATTTGGAGGGCTCGGCAGAAAGATTTAGAATTTTCCTTTTGGGATCTGAATTTTGAGTGACTTTATTATTTGCAGACACTGGTGACTATTATTTTTTAATAAGATTGGGACTTTATGGACTTCCACTTTTATTAACAATTATTATATTTTATTTTTTTTGGAGGATTTATATGTTGAAGCACAGAAAAGGGTTGTAGTCATAGATCGGGATACCGTATTTAATTGTTCATATTCATAGCCCCATGTGTTAATCTAGACATTTTATTCTTTTCTTGCTCTTTCAATTTTGCTCCAAGTTCCTTTTTCCACTTATCCAGAAACATCTAGGACACCGGTTCATCTATTTCAGTAAGGATTTTATAGATCCTAGAGGTAGCATGTTTTTGTATTGTATTTAATAGCGGTTCCAAAGATATCACAAACAACAATGGAGAGAGTGGGCATTCCTGTCTTGTTCCATTATGTATCCTAAAAAACTTTGATAATGATCCATTGACCTTCACTGTGGCTGATGGGTACCTATATAACTCTGTTATCCACCGCATCATCTTGGGCCCAAATCCTAACATCTTCAGCGTGTCTATCATAAATCCCCAATCTACTCTATCAAAGGCCTTTTCAGCATTGATCGATAAGATGACCCCCGGTACCTCTCCTCTTCCACTCTTTTGAAGGATAAGCAATGTTCTTAGTCCGTTATCCCTTCCTTCTCTGCCCAGGGTAAATCCCGCTTGGTCTAGGTGTATCCAGTTGGGCAACAGCTCTTTCTTCCTTCTTGCTAATACCTTCGCATACAATTTTGGATCGGTGTTTAGTAAAGATATAGGTCTGTAACTGGTACACTGAGGCCAATCTTTCCCCTCTTTAGGCATAACTGTGATAAATGCCTGTAATGACTCCTCCCTCATCTACAGTTGTGTCCAAAATTATTCAACCCCCAATGCTGTAAAGGGGTTTAGGGACTATAGTGTACATTTGGAATTGTATTCAGAATCAAATCCTACAAGGACGTGTGTAACTAACCCAAATGCAACTAAAATGACATCAATTGTTTATGTAATACAGTAGTAAATGGTTCTTATGTGGTTTCTTCATTGCCACAATTATTCAACCCCTTAAAGACTACCACTCTGAAGAACAGAGGTTCATACAGGTGCTTTCCATCAGGTATTGAAAAACACCTGTGGATGTCACCGAGCAGCAATCAAGCATAATAAGCACCAATTAGGCAGCTTTAAAATGACTGTGATACTCAGCTCCTTCTAGACATTTACTTGGTGGTGTGGTTACAAACATGGTGAAGGCAAGAGAATGGTCCAGGAAGACAAGAGAAGAGGTGATTTCTCTTCACAGGAAGGGCAATGGCTATAAGAAGATTGCAAAGATGTTAAACATACCAAGAGACACCTTAGGAAGCATCATTCGCAAATTCAAGGCAAAGGGCACTGTGTTGAAACGCTACCTGGTCGTGGCAGAAAGAAGATGCTGACTTCGACTGCTGTGCGCTACCTGAAGCGTAGAGTGGAGAGAAGTCCCCGTGTGACTGCTGAGGAACTGAGAAAAGATTTGTCAGATGTGGGTACAGAAGTTTCAGCCCAGACAATAAGACGCACACTGCGTAATGAAGGCCTCCGTGCCAGAACTCCCAGGCGTACCCCCTTGCTGTCTCCAAAGAATAAGAAGAGTCGACTGCAGTATGCCAAAAGCCATGTGGACAAACCACAAAAGTTGTGGGATAGTGTTTCTGTGGACTGATGAAACAAAATTTAGAACTGTTTGGGCCCATGGATCAACGCTATGTTTGGAGGAGGAAGAACAAGGCCTATGATGAAAAGAACACCTTGCCTACTGTGAAGCATGGTGGAGGGTCAATCATGCTTTGGGGCTGTTTTGCTTCTGCAGGTACAGGGAAGCTTCAGCGTGTGCAAGGTACCATGAATTCTCTTCAGTACCAGGAGATATTGGATGGAAACGTGATGCAGTCCGTCACACACCTGAGGCTTGGGAGACGTTGGACCTTTCAACAGGACAATGATCCCAAGCATACCTCCAAGTCCACTAGAGCATGGTTGCAGAGGAAAGGCTGGAACATTTTGGAGTGGCCATCGCAGTCACCAGACTTAAATCCGATTGAGAAACCTCTGGTGGGACTTAAAGAAAGCAGTTGCAGTGCGCAAGCCTAAGAATGTGGGACTGAACTGGAGGCCTTTGCCCATGAAGAATGGGCGAAGATACCCGTAGATTCGCTGCAAGACACTTGTGTCAAGCTATGCTTCACGTTTAAAAGCTGTTATAACTGTAAAAAGGATGCTGTACTAAGTACTAAGATTGAATGTCACTTGGGGGTTGAATAAAACTGATAATGCTGTGAGCACAGAAAAGACATTTGTGGTTATTTCATTATAACTGTTATGTTATATTTGTCTGACCTACAAGTGCCTCTTTAATGTAAATGTAAGCAAGATGACTGAATGATCAAAAGCAATGTCAAACTGGCCAAAACACTCAATTTCAGTGGGGGTTGAATAATTTTGGACACAACTGTATGTCTCTTCTCCCAATGCATTCATGTATGTATACAGTTTAGGGATTAGTTATTCTTTGAACTTCTTATAATATCCCACAGTAAATCCATCAGGGCCGGGGCTCTTACCTGCAGCTGTACTCTTCAATGCTAAACTAACTTCTTCTTTTGAAATTAAGCTATCTAAAGCTGGTAGTCTAACTTCATCCAATATAGGTAGACCAGCCTCGTTCAAATATATTTGCCTTTTTCCCTTTCTCTCTTCCTCTGGTTCCTTCTGGTTCTAAACCACTATAGTATCTCTGGAATGTATTAGCAATATCAGTGGTCGAATAAACCATTTCTCCTTTTTCAGCTTTAATTTTTTCCTTTGAAACCCTATTAAAAATCTTCCTTGTTTCTTGATCCATGAGATCCTTTACCTCTTCTCTTTTTTTATATTGTTTCCTGTTCTATATGGGCACAAAACCCTAGTCTCATTGTGACAGGGGCATGGTCTGATATAGATATTACTTCTATGTTAATTTTCACCAGAGACTCCAAGAGTCTATGTTCAATCAACATATAATCCAATTTTGAATACATCCTATGCACCACAGAGAAGAAGGTATAGTCTCTTTCTCTTGGATGCTTAATGCTCCAAGCGTCCATCAGCTGACATTGATGCAACTTTTTTTAACATTCTTTAGGCTCCTATCTCCCTCTCCGGGTCGATCCAAAAGTATAGAGCCCCATTTAACTCGTGCTCGGGGGAAGAGACCTTTATCCCAAGAGTATTGGTGGGGGGGAGAAGGGGAGAGAGAGAAAAAAAAAAAAAGGGAGAGGCGGGAGGGAGGGGGATGCAGAACCTGGATTCACCACCCCCCATCTCACCTTCCCTCTAAAACCATCTACCCCCATCAGTCTATCACCTTTTAGAAACTCTGACATTTCTCCTCTTCTAACTTTACATTCTCTTTCCCGCCTTTAGACCACCCTATAATATCCAGAGTCTGTAATTCTAATTTTTCACAAAAGTCTCTTAAATCTTCTGGGAATATCAGTTTCACAGTTTTCCCATCCTTTCACCTGATCAAGCATGCAGGGAATCCCCAATTATAGCGGACATTTTTATCCCTCATCTGATCTAACAATGGTTTCAAAGATCTTCTAGCACGTGTCTCCTGTGCTATGTCTGCAAAAATAAGCAATTTTGTTTATCCAGATTTTATGTCTGGTATCATACACAGCTTCTTCCATATAGTTTCTTTATCTTCATAATAATGAAACCGCCCCTTGGGGTATCTGATGTAACTCTTTGGGATCTCCTTATCCTGTGCACCCAATCTATTTTCAGTTGTTCCATCTCTTCTATCCCTATGATTGGATTAAACAATCTTCTCATGGTGTCCTGTACATCTTCTCCTTGAGACACTTTTGGTAAGCCTCTGATCCTTAGATTGTTCCTCCTATCTTGATTTTCCTGATCTTCTAATTTATGATAGCATTCTTTGTTCTTTTCTCATTTCCTCCACTTGCGCTTCTAGTTTGTTAATTACTTGGGCTTTTTTCTCCAATTTCCCTTCTGTTTCTTCTACTCGTGACAGGACTTGTCCCATTTCATGGTGTAAAACCGCCATTTCACTATTTATGGAGTTCTCTAATTTTGCAAACATTTCTACATTTTCTGATCTTGTGGGCATTTGTAGCCTTGCTTCTTGCTCCTCCATATTTCTTTTCCCCCTTTCACTCTCTAACTTTGAAGTTTCTTCAACTGATTCCTATCCGATACCTCAAAAGACAGTCTTGTTTGATCTCCGGTGTGATTTGCTTCTCCGTGACTCTCTGGGGTTTGTTCCTCTGGGCTTTTCTCATACAAAGGTATATACTTCTTTATTGTACTTGAGGAGTTTTTGCTCCTCCTCCTTTGACAGATCTACTCTTCTTATTCTATAAGTTGTACAATTACTTATAGCTTCAGGTAGAAATTTATTTCAGTTTCCCCGGGTCCTTACCTGCAATACTGATCTCGCTTAGAATCCTTCCCTTCCTGGTCTTTATGAGGGTTACAGTTCTTTGGTGTTCCCTTCTTTTTCTTCTTCGCCTTACACTTCTTGGGTGCCCCTTCCTTTCCTCTAATGAATGTACTTTAATGATGTTCCGTTTATACCATCCCATCAACCCCTAGAAAACTACTGTTGTGTCCACATTTCTCCCAGCAGCAACAATAGCATGCACGACCTCAGCATTGGGGATTAACCACCTCCTGCAGCAACTCACCCGCTCCTATGTTCTGCATCCACCGGCTAGGCGTCAGCTGCTGGT